ATTCCTCTAAGTCTTCCTACCAATATGACCAAGTTGCAAAAACAATGTCAAACAACTTCTATACTATATTAAATTCAATAAAAACAAGGAATCTAATAATTTCATTGTGGAAAAGTTTAATTAATGGTCGCTCATTACCTTAAAAAAGATAGCGTTAATACAGCTAATATAAAAACAAGCCTCTCTAATAGCCCATCTGAGTTGGGATGGATAAAATGATATGAACACGAATGCATTTGAGAGTGTATGGGGTATATGAGACAGAGAATGATGGATAGACGCAAAGTGGGAAAAAAAACAAGAAAGAAGTTGAAAAAAGAAACGATGGAGTAAACTGTCTGTTTACGTGACACTTACGTCGACATCTCGTATAAATGAGGCTCCGCCGAATACGTATAGATCAGAGTGGAACACGTTAACAGCCAAGTAGGAGCCAGGTGTGGCGTAACCTTTGATTTCCAGAGTGTCCTGATTCAAATCCTTGCCTCGATTCACCACCAGTCGAACATTGTTAATTCGTGTGTAGTTGGTAAAAAAGGTAAGAGCATCCGCAACTACTTCACCATCTGGCTTGATGAAGAAGGCCACAATACGTGCGATAGGCGCCATCTCCCGAGAGACAGCTACTGAGAAGGTGCGTGATGTGATGGAGGTCGGCATCATCAGTCGATTGGCAACGGGAATGTTTCCATTCGCAGCCACCTGAAGAGACGGTTCGGGGGATTACAAGAAGTCGACATCTCTATTAATCGCGTTGAGTAGGCTTTTAAACTACTAGTAGCTATTAAGTAGGCAACACTTGGGCCACATAAAGTGCTGAAGGAAGGATAGTTCAATTTTTCACAAATCAGCTGAGTAGGTGTTAACGATGCGAGTAAATTTAATTTGACCTCGCTTCACGAAAGGTACCTTTAGGCGACAAAAAATGACTATTAATCCTAGTCAAAATCTATTGGTGCCCTCAAAACCAATTTTATATGGTGATACATGATATCACCACTTTCCGTCATTATCAAGCCTGAGTAACAAAAGAGCCATCTGGGACTAGTCCTCGGAAAGGCAATAGCTTCTTTTATATCCACAAAAAATGTGATTTTAGGCTGCCAATATGTACTAGACAGCCTAGGTCGCGTAAGATGATGAAGATCTGATGGTTAAATTTTACCCAAATAAGATGAGTAGGCCTCACGTATCCAGTGAATTTGGGTTATCTTTGATTCCAAAAAGGTATTCTCATCCAAACTCAACTCGACTATAGTTTCTATCTCGTTTGATAATCGAACTTGAACATTGAACACTCCCACCAGGAGTGCTGATGAAACCCGGACGAAGACAAAACCGTGGTCCAGGAGAGCCTGGATGAGAATACTTTTTGGGAAGCAAGTCTAAATGGGATTAGATGAGGCCCACTCATCTGAT